TGATTATTCAAGGATGGAGTGCTAAAGGGGGTGTACTTGGAAAGACCAGGAAGGGTCAGATGTGCAGTTCACTAGGTCACTGTGACAATCTGTATTACCCCTAGATTTCTTTTCTCAACACTTCTGACTGTTGCTATCAATGGTGCAGCTCCAAAGGAAGTAACAGTGAATATAGTATTGACTAACCAATGATGCTGACAAGCCAATGGTGTTCTAACTCTGCTCAGAGCAGGTCTAGATCAGTGGCTCTCAATCTTTCCAGGCTACTTTCAGGAGTCTGATTTGTCTTGCATATCCTAAGTTTCACCTCATTTAAAACTACTTAGGCCAGGTCTACACTAATCCCCTAGTTCGAACTAAAGTACGCAACTTCAGCTACGTGAATAATGTAGCTGAAGTTCGAAGTACCTTAGTTCGAACTTACCTCGGTCCACACGCGGCAGGCAGGCTCCCCCGTCGACTCCGCGGTACTCCTCTCGTCTAGCTGGAGTACCGCAGTCGACGGCGAGCACTTCCGGGTTCGACTTATCGCGTCCAGACAAGACGCGATAAGTTGAACCCAGAAAGTTCGATCGCTCGCCGCCGAACTACCGGGTAAGTGTAGACCTACCCTTGCTTACAAAATCAGACATAAGAATACAAAAGCGTCATAGCACACTGTTACTGAAAAATTGTTGACTTTCTCATTATTACCATATAATTGCAAAATAAATCTATTAGAATATAAATATTGTACTTACGTTTCTGTCTATAGTATATAGAGCAATATAAACAAGTCATTGTCCGTAAAAATTTTTAGTTTGTACTGACTTTGCTAGTGCTTTTTATGTAGCCTGTCGTAAAACGAGGCAAATATCTAGATGAATTAATGTACCCCGTGGAAGACCTCTGTATACCCCGGGTTGAGAACCACTGGTCTAGAAGACTACAGTTGTTAAAATGCTGTGGCCTGTCTACACTAGCACTCCCACTGTTGTTTATGTATACAAAGCCACAGTACTTCCTCTCTTGGATCCTAGTTCAGCAAGGTAGTTAAGCATGTGCTTAATTATCATTGACTTCAGCAGGACTTTAAACTTTAACATAAATAGAGATGGATTTAAGCATGTGTTGAAGTGTTCTGAGGAAGAGGGGCCATACCTGTACTCAGCTTTGAAATATCAGCATTTCAGGGCAAGATTCCAAGGCACAGGGAAAAAAATAAGGGTGTTGATCCAGAGCTTTGGTCATACAGGGTAGTGACATACACGCAGAATATCTTACATCTTCCACTCCAGAGGTGACTGCGTATTCATAAATGATCTGCAAAAACAAGTGAACAGTGAGGTGGCAAAGTTTGCAGGCGACACAAAATTATTCAAGATAGTTAAGCCCAAAGCTGACTGCAAAAAGTTACTGAGAGATCTCACTAAACTGAGTGATTGGGCAACAAAATGACAGATGAAATTCAATGTTGTTAAATGCAAAATAATGTACACTGGAAACCATAATTCCAACTATACATACAAAATGATGGGGTCTAAATTAGTTGTTACCTCTCAAAAAAGGGATCTTGGAGTCATCGTGGATAGTTCTCTGAAAACATCCACTCAATGTGCAGTGGCACTGCGGCAGTCAAAAAAGCTAACAAAACGTTAGGAACTATTAGGAAAGGAATAGATAATAAGACAGAAAATAGCATAATGCCACTATATAAATTCATAGTACACCCACACCTTGAATACTGCATGCAATTCTGGTTGCACCATCTCAAAAAAGATGTATTAGAATTGGAAAAAATACAGAAGGGCAACAAAAATGATTAGGGGAATGGAACAGCTTCCATATGAGGAGAGATTAAAAAGACTTTGAATGTTCAGTTTAGAAAAGAGACAACTAAGGGGATTATGACAGAGGTCTATAAAATCATGAATGGGGTGGAGAAAGTGAATAGGGATGTGTTATTTATCGCTACACATAACACAAGAACCAGAGGTCACCCAATGAATAATAGGCAGCAGGTTTAGAACAAACATAAGGAAGTACTTCTTCACACAACATACAGTCAAACTCTGGAACTTGTGCATGAGGATGTTGTGAAGGCCGAAAGTATGACTGGGTTCAAACAAGAATCAGATAAGTTCTCGGAAGATAGATCCATCAATGGCTATTAGCCAAGATGGTCAGGGACACAACCCCATGCTCTGGGTGTCCTTAAACCTCTGACTGCCAGAAGCTGGGACTGGATGACAGGGGTAAATCACTTGTTCATTGCCTTGTTCTATTCATTCCCTTTGAAGCATCTGGCACCGTCCACTGTCAGAAGGCAGGACACTGGGCTAGATAGACCATTGGTCTGACCCAGCATGGCTAGTTTTATGTTCTTTTGCATTTGAGAAGTGTACAATAATTCCTTATACTTCCAATATGTTAACCATTCTGCAATCCTTCTGCATGAAAGGTGCTATAGTACAGAAAACATTCGATTTTCAACTGTATTTCTGAATTTTCTTCTGTGGTTGGGTTTATGTTCTGTAAATTATATTTTAGTGTATTCTATCACAAAATAACATATGGTATGCTCACCACAAATAAAAACTAGTAATGGAATCTAACGGAACATCTCCACCTTTACAACTTTTCATGAATCTATCATAGCTAAACAAAAATTCCAAAATATTCTGTATCTTGGAGTTACCATCAAGTCATTAACAATAAATAACCCATGTAACTGGAATTAACACAATCGGCTATTTCTACTGGTTATAGTCTTTTACAACCAGAGACAAACATCAATACCAAGAACTGCTTTGTAGTTTTTATGATACAGCATATATTCCAACCACTTATATAAACCATCACATAAATGCCCATACTTCCAAATCAAAATATAAATTTCAGACCTTAAACTGATTTTATACCTCATTTGCAGATGCTGCTAAGCACTGCATATAACAATGACATCATTGTTTCTGGAGTTTCTAACATACATGAAAAGGGAAAAATCAGAAGCAGACTTTTAAAAGGAATATATCAAACAAAATAAATGCATAAACACAATATATGAAGCGTTGGGGTGCTATAAAGATTTTATTGTTACTTGTTTGGGAAGAGCTACATAACTCACTGTGGCTCTGCAACTAGTGAGTAATGCAGTCATCTCAAAATCCAGCAGATTTATTGGTAATACTGTTCAGGCTAAGTTCTTGTATCTCATTTTCTCCTAACCCCTTATAAATAGGACTCAGCTCTTTGCAAGAGGTAACCTACATTTTATTTCTTTACACTTCATATAAATGTGGTGACTATTTTTGGTGGAGGAAAAGAACTAGTGACTCTGAAATGTAGTCACAACATAGTTAAATTAAATGATCAGCGGAAATGCATGAAAAAGATAGAGCATAGAAATAATTACAGAAAATAACATAATTAGGAGAGGTAGATCTGGTAGACTTGAGGCATTTTCTCGTATCCTGGACTCTACATAGAGAATAACCTATTCCTAGGTTGGGTACTTACATGATTCCCATCACATTAGTATCTAAGTGTCTTACAATCGTTGATGTATTTATTCACACAACACCCCCTGAGTTGAGGAAGTACTTTCATCCCCATTTTACAGATGGGAAACTGAGGCACAGATACTAACTGACCTGCATGAGGTCATCCAGGAAGTTTGTGGCACAGGAGGGACTTAAACCTGGGTCTCCCAAGCAAACACCCTAACCACTGGACCATCCTTCCTTTGGGATGGGAAGGAACTCCAAAGGTTTTCAAGTAGTTTATTTTACTTACTTAGACCCTGCTTTAGTAAGGTGTTTAAGCATTTGCCTAGCTATAAACACAATCCTACTTTAGTCACTGAAGATTATTTGCTTATTGGGGAGCTTCCTGCATCTTCCTCTCGAGCATCTAGTGCTGCCCACTGTCATATACAGAATTTTGCACTAGGTGGGCCATGTGTTTGATCCAGCATAGCAATTCCTATGTTCCCTGAGCATCTTTTAACCATGCCAGGAACTATTATGTTGTAACTGGATTCCCTGGCAGGGTTAATTTTGAGCAGAAGTCTTTGCTGATAACTTTGCAAAAGCATTCTCCTTAGAAATGCTTTTCTGTCAATATCACATCCACTGACCTTGTTTTTAGGCCAACCACCTGTTCCCTTATTTTTAAAATTACACAGCTCACACATGAAAACATCTTTTTTCCCCCCTATAAAGTTTATCACACATGCTTGCTCTTTCCTTCCCACCCACAGCCATCATAAGCCTCATTGTGTCATAGAATAAAGTCTGCGGCACCCACTTGTGTGTAGGGTGACCAGATGTCCCGATTTTATAGGGACAGTCCTGATATTTGGGGCTTTTTCTTATATAGACATTGATTACCCCCTGTCCCAATTTTTCACATTTGCCATCTTGTGTGACATCAGAACAAGAGGCATACAGTGTCCCCTGGGGAACGAGCAGATATATTTGGAAAGCACTACTCTGTTTTCATGCAAATGCCCTTCGGTGCTAATAATTTTGCAGGGGTGCTGGGAACCACTGAACCAAACTTTAATCCCTGTATATGATGGAATCCACCTTAAGCAAGGGCACCCCCGTTCCAGCAGCACCTGTGTAATTTTGTTTCAAAAAGGGAGGAGAAATAAACTCAGCTGTGCCAAACCTCTCTCATTGCAGGTGATGTTCAAGGCTGCATGCAAAGGCTCTCCCTGAAGGGATGGTTGCATTGCAGAGTGTTTCCACGAGACCTTTACGTTGTCCCCCAATTTTTCCCTCCTGACTTTGAAATCTCTCTTATTTAAATGGCCACAGCTAGCAGCTCTACACCTTGGCAACCGGGGGGGGGGGCGGAGGCAAAGGCAAAGGGGTCCGTCCTGCTGCTCTCTGAGAAGAACTGTAAAAGTCTGGGAGCCTGGAGAGCTCCCCAAGCGCAGCCAGCGGCTCTGAGTAGGAAGTGGAAAAGGGGAGGGGAAAAAAAGGCTGCGGGCGGGTGCTTGCAACCTCAGAGCTGAAAGGGCTGCGGGGCTTTGCCGTCTCTCTCTCTGTCTCTCTCTGCCTCGCGCTGCTGCTGTCGGCGCGAGGCTGCCGCCGAGAGCGGAGCAGAGCGAGCGGCGCCGGCGCTGTGCATGCTGGGCTCCGATCATGGTGGGCTCGCGCTAGAGGCAGGAAGGGCTCGAGCCAGTTCCCCCCTCGCCCCCGGTAGCCACGCGCCTCCCGGTCGGCGAGTCCCGGGGAGAGAAGACACCGACCGGGAAGGGGGCTGGTACCGCCGGGCGCTCGCTCTGTCCCGCACCGCAGCGCCCCGGGACCGCTCGCCGGAGGAGGAAGGGGGGGTTGCCCCGGGTGCCAGCCGCTGTGGGGGGACGGGACCGGACCGTGCCCCCCGCCGCTGCCCCCCGCGTGCCCAGCCCCGGGAGATGGTGACACATGAGGCGCGCTGGCAGGAGCATGGTTGAAAGGACCAGCAAGTTCTTGCTGATCGTGGCCGGCTCGGTGTGCTTCATGCTCATCCTGTACCAGTACGTGGGGCCGGGGCTGAGCCTGGGGGCGCCCAGCGGCCGCGCCCCGGCCGAGGAGCTGGACCTCTTCCCCACGCCGGACCCGCACTATGTCAAGAAGTACTACTTCCCCGTGCGGGCGCTGGAGCGGGCGCTCGCCTTCGACATGAAGGGCGAGGACGTGATCGTCTTCCTGCACATCCAGAAGACGGGCGGCACCACCTTCGGCCGCCACCTGGTGCAGAACGTGCGGCTCGAGGTGCCCTGCGACTGCCGGCCCGGGCAGAAGAAGTGCACCTGCTACCGGCCCAACCGCCGGGAGACCTGGCTCTTCTCGCGCTTCTCCACCGGCTGGAGCTGCGGGCTGCACGCCGACTGGACCGAGCTCACCAGCTGCGTGCCCGGCGTGCTGGACAAGAGGGAGAGCGCCGCGCTCAAAGCCCCCAGGTGAGCGGCATCCCTAGCCCACCCCGCGAGCATGCCTGGCATCCCCAGCAAGGGAAACAACCCAGCCTCACCCTCCTGGTGTTCACTGCACTCCCCTGCACCCCCAGCCCGGGAACTCCCCTCTTCACCCTCACAGCGTGCAGTGTATTTCCTTTTGCATCCCCAGCCCGCAGTATACTCTGCACCCCCAGCATGGGAATGCCCCCTGCGCCCTCATGGTGTGCACTGCATCCCTCTGGGCATCCCCCTCTGCATCCCCAGCCTATAGGTATGCACTGCACTCCCCTGCACCCCAAGCCAAGGAACCCCCTCTGCACACCCATGGCTTGCACTGTACTCCTCTCTGCATCTGCAGCCCAGCCCACAGCATTCACTGCACTCCTCTACACCCTCAGCACCCCCTCTTCACTTCCACAGCATGTACTGCACCCCCTCGCCACCTCTCTCTTCATTCCCACTGCACTTCTCTGTACCCTGAGCCTGGGCACCTCATCTGTGCCCCCACGGTGTGCATTGCACCCCCAGTCCAGGTACTCCCTTTGCATGCACTGGACTCCTCTCTACCCCCAACCTGGGCACCCCTCCCTATACCCCCATCTGCACGCTCAGGGCACTGGACTCTGCACCACCAGCCCAGGCACCTCCTCTACACCTCCACAGTGTGTGTTGCACCCCTAGCTCAGGCACCCCTTGTTCATGTGCTGCACCCCTCTCTCTACTCTCAGCCTAGGCACCCTCTTCTGTACCCCCACAGCATACACTGCACTTCTCTAGGCACCCCCAGCCCATGGCATGCACTGCACTTCTCTCAGCACCTCCAGTCTACCCCACTGCATACAGTGCAATCTTGTCTGCACTCCCAGCTCACGCTACTGCATGCATGCCCCTGCCCTCTGCACCCCAGCCTGGCCACCCACTTCTGCACCCCACAGCATACACTGCACTCTCCTCTGCACCCTCAACCCAGACATCCCCTCTGCCACCCACATGGCGTGCACTGCATCTTCTCTCTGTACCCCCAGCTCAGACCACCTGCCCACTGTACCCCCACAGCATTCATCCATCTGCACCCCCGGCCCTTGCCACGACATACACTGCACCTGCCCTCTGCATCCCTAGCCCAGGCACCCCCTCTGTCCACACCATTACAGGCACTGCACCTCTTTTCTGCACTCTAGCTCACCCCATTGCATTCATTGAACCTCCCCTCTGCACCCCCACATCCCATCTTGAGCACCCTCCACTCCTCAGCCCAGCCTTATCCTTGCCCGTGTAGCCTATATGCCTACCCTACTCTGTGCATCCCTAATCCTCCTGTACCTCAGCTAACCTGTACACCCTCAATCGCAGGCAAGAGAGACCCAAGACAACCAATCCCCTGCACACTTAACCCCCCCCCCGCACGTACGTGCACAATTGCCCCCATATTCCACTCTGCATACCCCTATACAGCCCTACACCCACTCTATATCCCCCCTTCAGTTCCTATCCTTTTCCGTGCACAGTGAGTGGTGCTTCGAAAGCCTTAGCTGAAAACTGTATGTTTTCTCCTGCAAACCTCAGCCTACATCCCCTTTATCTCTCTGTCTTCCACTTGGGCAAGAGAGAGAACATCACCCCAAAATCCCAGGCAAGACAACTCACTCAAAATTTCATCCTTACACACGCCCAGTCCGACCCCCAGCCCCTCTCATACAGACACCAAATCCCACTGCGTTCCTGTCCTCTTGCATCCTATCCTTCATTCCACTGCCCCAATCTTAACTTGCTCTCAAACTAATAATTTACAATAATCTATGTAAATTTAAATTGGCTTGTTTAAAAGCATCTCCAATTGTTCTTATTCCTGCTTCCCTAATTTAACATATTTTTATGTCTTTGAGTCCAAGAGGTCTAAAAAACTATCATTGGAAATACCATGCACAATCTCTTTAGTGAATGTAAATCACTGTTGTTGTTATTACTATCCCTTGTATCATTTTTTTCAGTAAGTTTCATTTTCGGAGCTATGCAACATTTTATGCAATCATTTGTTAATGCCATGTGCTGTATATATATCGTTAATAGCATACGTAATAATCCCTTTAGTGAATGGCAGCCTTAGAGCAAGTCTATGTTTTAGCATCGCTGTTCTTCTTTCTTCTGTATTTTAAACCATTTTAGTTGGTCTTGTCCTAGGAACAGTATGCCGTTATTAGTGTATTAGTTATTAGTATTCTTTATTGCCTCTGTTATGATTACTGCTCTTTTCAACGGAACTCAGTGTTAGTCATCCTAATACTATACTTGAATCACTGTCATGCTGGCTGACCCGGGAGCAGCAAACCAGGCTTTCCTTGTGATTTTCTATTTTTAAGGCACTTGTAAACATTTTATAAACAAAATACCCTTCACCTATCCTGTTGCTGATGTGGTTTAGTGAAGTGCTGCAATGAAAACTGCTCGAAGTTCAAATCCGGTAAAAACCCAGTCTGTGAACCTTGGCACCCAGCTAGCAAACTCTTAACCTGCCATAAAGGCAGATTTATGGATAGATCCAGACACCCATGTGCTCAGGATCCTCAGTTGTACTTAAACCTACTCTACCTTCAGTATTTAAGCCTACCCTCCTTGCTTTTTCATATAGTTACCAGAGAATAGCATAATGCTGTTGTAATGAAGCTCCAGATTGTGAACATATAGCAAGGGTCCTGTTACATAGTTGCTCGGTTACCTTTAACCTTAAAGGCTTAATAATTAGTTCTTTCCATTTTGGAGAATGGATTCTGTGTGTATTTGTAGGCATTTCAGAACCAGCTACTAAGTATTGCACCTTTTCAATAATTTTTAAATGAGGTGGTTTTCTCTCTAGTATTTGTTTTTTGGGATTTAAGGCATTTGACACTTTTTAAACTACCTATCTGTACTCAAAATATATTGAAAAAATAATCTAGTCCCCCAGTGCATCCAGGAGCAGATTATCATGAAACAAACCATGTGGTGGCACGGGACCCCCATTGACGGGGGGCCCCCAAAATGCAGGACAAATCTCATCTGACAACCTGCCCGATTCCTAGCCAGCAGCACAGGAGGGCTCAGGCAGGAAGGCTGCCTGCATGCCGTGGCTGGTGGCCCCACGCTGGTCTTGGAAGTGGCTGGCTGCTGGCATGTCTCTGCGTGCCTCTGGCGGGGGGGGGAGGCGGCTCTGTGTGCTACCCCCTCCCCGGGCAGTTCATGGAGACCCGATGCCCCTCTCCCCCCAAGGGGTGCGCAGAGACGTGCCAGAAGTAGGGCTAAGGCGGCTCCCTGCCCGCTCTGCCTCCCTCCCTCCCTCCGCGCCGCCTGGGGGTGTGTGTTTCTCCGCACGCTGCCCCTGCCATGAGTCCCGACTCCACAGCTCCCCTTGGCTGGAAACTGTGGCCAATGGGAGCTGTGGGGGCGGCGCCTGCAGTCAGCGGTGTGCGGAGACCTCTTGCCCCCCTTTCCCCCCCCCCCGCCTAGGAGCTGCTGCTGGGGGGGATGTGCTGATCGCTTTGGGAGCCACGCCGCCTGAGGTAAGTGCTGGCCCCCACACACACAACCCCCAGCCCAGAGCCCACACCCAGCCCCAAACTCCCTCTCGGTGTGGGGGTCGAGCGCTCTCTCCCACACCCCTGCCCCAGCCCAGAGCCCACACCCAGCACCCAACCCCCTGCCTCAGCCCAGAGCCCACATCCAGCACCCAAACTCTCTCCCAGAGCCTGACCCCCGCAACCCCTCCTGCACCACAACCCCCTGCCCCAATCAAGGTACCTCACTTTATTTTCATTTACTTCCCATTACTTATAGGAGGAGGATGAAGGAAAAAAAGAATGAAAAATGTGGGGGAGATAAAAGAGAATGTTCTTTTTCTTGGCTGGGTCCTGAGGGGGTGGGGGGCGGGGCAGGGGGGGGGGCTTGAAAATGAAGCTGCGCACAGGGCCCACTAACTCTAAATCCGCCACTGTGTGTATCCTAATATTAGTTTTGCTAATATTAGTGCTGTGGTCTCTTTGTTTCTGTTACCCCACAGATTAGGTTGGATTAGGACTTGATTTTCAGAAATGTGGGGGCTCTGATGTGGAGGTTTAGGTAATCTGATTATAGTAATCTCGGTTTGTTTACACACACTGTGCTTGGCCTTTCATTAATTTTGAACTGGGGATGATTTTGTACAATAAACAACTGCCAGTTGACTTTGTAATATTGTCCTAGCACAGTGCTCTCTCTATTGTAACAAAGTACAGTTCATTGTGTTCGTAAGGCATCTTCACAAAAAGATAACATTGCTCTGGCTTGTAATGAAATCAGGATTCATAAATGAGAGATGTTTGTTTAAAATCAGTGATGTAGTGAATTTCATTTGTTCAGATGAAAAAGGATACCTTCTTGCATTATTTCCAGTACACTAGCAATCATATCACTTCATTTCCCCGCTCTGAATAATGTATCTTGGCCGTCAAAACAGTGCTTGTTTTTTATGCGACCTGTGCATTTGAGAGAGGCTAGTGTTGAAATAGGATTTGACTACAAAATTCTCATTTGAACAAGCTCCAGACAGAACCATCTGGGTCTTCTTGAACCCAGTAAGACTTCAGAATTCTGAAGTTACTTTTACAGCTCTTCTGCAGTGGAGACATGAAATCCACCTTTCAGAACATTCAGTTCCTTCCTTTATATTCGGTACATACAGTGACAGGGCTGGATTAATGCAGGTGTTTTAGGGGCTGCAGCCCAGGGCCTCAGTCTAAGGGCAGCCCCGTGGGTGGGATGCGGCCTGCGGCAATTCTCCCTGCCACAGGCCGGACACATGTTCCTGAGCCTCAGCACCGCTGCCCCCGCCCCCCTGTGTCTGGAGCCACGAGCGCCAGCTTGCCAATGTGACCCTGCGGCCCCTACGCAAGGGGCATTCAGGGAAACTGCTCCCAGCGCCAGCTCCGCAGCTCCCATTGGCTGAGAGCAGAGCAGCTTGGAGCCAGGGCTGGCATGGGTCCTGCCTTAGC